TTGACTGATGCACGCAGTCTTTCTGGAACACAGCGACAACAACAAATAGCAGTCACTCAGTTCTTTCTTGGTACCAGGCGCGCTTCAAGTAACCTCTGATGATTATAAGATTTAAACCTTGTTTCCTTTCTGAAGACTGGAGATGAGAAAATGGAAACCTAGGGAGGTTAACAGCTTGAAGGCCACAAGGCAGAGCTTAACCCCAGGACTCTGACAACGCTGCTGGCTGTTAATCACTGACTTGTACCACTCTGTGTGACCGCAGAAGCTTAAGGGATTCTCTCGAGGATCACAGTTACTCTGATGACGTGGGAAGCAGGGCTGCGAGAGGTCTGTACCCGAACCTATCGTATGTAGCATAGGTCACAGCTACAAGTTTGGACACCAGGACCCTAACAGGGGTAGACATTAAAACCCCAGCAGCACCCACAGAGCAGGCAGCTTCTGGGGTCAAGGCAAACTGCTGCTGTACACTGATTTCTTCTTGTGCACATTTTCCCATTTTCAATAGAATAGAAAATGATTTTGTCTTACATGTTTCCCTCCACCCTGAACACTCCTTTGAGAAAGACCTCATGAGATTAAATGTAGATTCCTAGACTGGCTCCTGGAGCGGTAAAACACATTAGTAGACAACTGATGAAGTTTGAAAAATTCTGTAGTCAGCAGTTATATACTAATTTCTTTTTTACAACAAATTTAAAAATTCAAAGTTTTTTTTTAAACGGATGTACACTTTGAACATGGCTACATCATTACTGTGTTAAAATTCAAAGTTTAGTTTTAAAAGGCTGCAATTTAATTATTTTAAGATTTCCTAGGTCTTGAATCAGTCTGTTATAAAACTAAATAAATGTAGAGTTATTTTAAAATTTTTCTAAAGTGACTGTTCAACTCACTAGTGAAAAGAAAAACCTATTTGTGTATAAGGGAAACTCAGGTTTTGAATAGACTCACATTAAATGCTATATAGTCAGAAAAAAAATGGGTTGGGAATTAGTCACAAAATCTTGCAAATAAAGTGACTGAAATTTTGTATTCCTATTGAGAAAAGCAAATGAATATTATAGTTAGCCAATAACAGGACTTGCCTAAATATAGCTTCCTGCTTGGCCTTCTGAACATCCTTGAATCCCAAGTATCAAAACCTGGGACATGTTTTGTACACAACAAAGAGAAAGTGCAACCCTGAAAAGCTATGTAAGTACTTTACCCATGGTTATGCCACTGATGAAGCAGTATGCTTCAACAACACTACCTCGGATAGATAAGACAATTTTGCATTAACAAGAATTATTTCATAATGGCCGGGGGTGGGTACATTTGGAACATGTGCTCAAGAGTTTCTGGCTTTTTCCTTAGATTTGAGCAACAAATTTTAAAATGACCAGGATTGCAGTCAACATGATACAGTCGTCTGAACATCCTTCACAGGTTTTGAACAGTTGTGGCTTTGATGAAATGGTATTATTTCAACATTTTCGTTATGGGAACATAAAAATAATTTCACAACTATCATGTTGCCTAATCAGATGTCACTGGCTCTGCCAGCCACTGCCAGCTTCTTCTGAGGAATCAGGCGTCCCCTGAGCTGGCTGACTGGCAGCAGCAGTGGTGGGCTGTGCCTAACCGAAGGTCACCACAATGGCTCGCTCTTGCTTGGCTATGCTCAGTTGGTTCCCATGAACAAATCCTGGCAAGTGACCTGACTGGTCCTGCTCACCTTACGTAGTCACAACCTTAAAAACCAGTGGCACAGGGCCAAGGAAGGAGACTTCTCAAAGTTCTAGGGTGTGCCCTACTAGCACTAAAGGTTTCCTGAGGAGAAGCAGTCACCAGGCCTCCCAGTGGTGAAACTAAACAAGAAGCAGGAGAGAAAGCAGAAAGAGGCAGCAGACAGGCAATACAAAGTAAAGCGCACAAAGTCAGAAAGGGCCCATCCAATTTCAGTTTTTGAAACCTTTCAATAAGTGAACTTCAGTTTCTGAAACCTTCAATAAGTGAATTTCAGTTTCTGAAACCTTCAATAAGTGAAAATGAATTTCAGATCCTTTTTTTTTTTTTAAGATACATGATTTCACTAAGCAGGTCTCATCTACATCCGCCTCCAGAGTAGCTGAGACTACAGGTCCATGCCACCATGCCCTGCTTATTTTGGACCTTCAATCTTCTTACTAACTAAAGTTGTAAAGTGTGCATCCTTCTGTTGTCTATCTCATTTGGAAATAACATTGAGTCCAAGTTGAACCTGAACATGAACCGCAAGGTAAATAATCCTACCCATTACTCCATCCCCAGGTGCCTACTCAAAAGGCCTCAACAGAACAGGAGGACAGGCTTAGGAAGATGGGCTAAAGAGACTAAAAAGAAATATTGAGTGGAAGATATAAAAATAGCAGGAGGGGAAAGGAGAAAGAAAAAGAATGAGACTCAGAAAGCATGAAACTGAGCTCAGAGACATGGATTATGTTCGTGCTGGTCGCGGGTGCACTGGGTAGCGGTCACCCTCCACTGACCTAGGCACAGGGGCATCTACAATGCCCGCTTAGTAAGTGGAATCTGCATTTACCCATTAAGTGCCACCGAGCTCAAGGCAATGTGCAGGGAACTTCTAGATTTGAGCCAGGAAAAAAAATAAATACTTTGTCTACTAGGAAATGGAAATATTCCTGTTGCACTCTGGGAACCAAACATAGAGACAGGCCTTAAAAGAGAAAGGGTTGGGGTGAGGGTACAGCTCAGCGCCAGAGCACTTGCTTCAAACACATGAAGCCTTGGGTTTAATCTCCAGCAAGGAGAGGAGGAGGAAGGGATGGAAGAAAGGTTAGCTTTACTAGAAAGATGTTCAAGAACAGCTGCCTTGATGGAATTACTTCAATGGCACTTAGCATATACAGTGGTACCTCAGTTTGTGAATTTAATTCATTTCACTATTCTGGCCGTGAACCGCATTGGTTGTAAACTGAATCAAATATCCCCATAAGATTCAATATAAATATGGTTAATCCATTCTGAACCATATTTTTTTTTTACCACGAAAATATGAAACAAAGTACAGTACAGTATGAAAAGAGAACACTACCCTTGCTTGAAACAACTTTTGGCATAGAGAACAGGAAGGTAGATGGGGAGGAGGTTATTGTTTGGAGGGAGAGTCCTGTACCATAAGGACATCTGGGAGATCGCTTGCATGGGTTTCCTCTCTCGTCTTTTAGCTGCAGGGTCAATTTTGACAAAAACTTGCTTAATGTCACTTTTTTACTGCATTGTACAACCCTCCAAAAATGAGAGACGTTATCATCCATCAGCTCCAACAGCCTGTTCATTATAGTTATGTTGGGGTGGTGCTACTCAAAGAAATGCTGGCATTTATTCTCAAAGAAATCATTCCATTTTACCATAATGGATTTTATCACACCACTAACATCTTTTCTGTCTTCCTCTTTCTCAGTGGAATGCTCCTCAACAAATGCCTTCTGCTGCTCACTCTGCCCCAGCAATGCCTTTTCCTACTACTGTGTGATATAGGTTCTGTTCAGCATCTTCAACCTAAAAAGCCCTGTCTCGCTGCAGTTGAACACTTGTTGAACAACATATCCTGCTGCCTTCAATTCTGAGAATTCTTTCTTGTAGGCTTCTGCAACAGCCTTGTTAAAACAGGAAGCCTTACCGTGTCTTACCACACTGTAGATGCCACTTCTCTTGCAGAATTTATCAAACCACCCTCTACTGGCTTTAAATGTATCACTTGTTGCACTTGGAGAGGGGTTTTCTTGTAGTAAATCACCATGCAATTGCCTAGCTTTTTCACAGATCATAGCTTCACGAACACTACCACCTGTCAGCTGTTTCTCATTCAACAAAAGTTTTTCCACCTCTTCCACCTTAAACTTCATTACTCCTTTTGCCAGCCACATCAGCCCCTGTGATGGCATCTTTATTCTTCAAAATAGGTGAGATAGCGCCAGGGATTTAGCTCAGTGGTTCCGGCGCCTGCCTCACAAGTGAAAGGTCCCGAGTTCGATCCCCCGTACCAAAAACAACAACAGGTGAGGTTGTCGACTTCGCCATCTTGTACTCCAAGGCCAAATCGGTCACAAGAACATCATGTTCATGCTTTTCTACAATTTTCTTCTTCAATACAATGGTTATTTTCTTCAAAACCTTCTTAACATTCTTGTTCTGCACTTGTCACCTTCATTACTGCTCAGCACTCTTTTTGCCACCATGCTTGCTCTGCACTTTCTTTGGAGCCATGCTGGATTAAACAATACTGTACAGTACTGTATGTGCTTAAAAGTACACAAAAAAGCTTCACAGCAAGCCTGCACATGTCTGACTACAACCACAATCTCATCGAGAGAAGGCCACAAGCACGTCAGAGCAGGGAAGATGGCTGAGTTTGTGTTCACACAGGGAAGACGGCCACAGTTGTGTTGGTCACCTGATGCAGTTTCAAAACGGAAGCAAGATTTTGCTGAACACTTCTGTTCGTGAACAGAATCGTTCTCGAACAGAAGCGTTTGTGAACTGAGGTATTACTGTACAGGTAAGTACCTGGAAGCTGTACTGGGATCCTCTTGAGCTGAAGTCTTTTTGTCCTTATTTACCAGGTATTTCACAATGTTAACCATCTTACACTCACGAACAGGCCACTATTCCAGCTCTCCCAAGAATATGCCAGGTAATGAAAAGCAGACAAGTCACCAGCTGGAGCCCCAGCACCAGGAGGAGGTGCCATCTAGGCAGCTCCTGAGGCAGCTGCCTTCTGCAGGACGCTCCCAAGGAAGGAACACTGGATAGGCCATCAAAAGCCTATGCAGCCAGAACTTCCGCTAATAGGCGTGACTTCCTCCTTCAACCCTGGCTCCAATAACAGAATAAACGTAATCTCTGTAGGAATGTTTGGTGAGTCACGTTTTGGAGGCACTCTACCAACTGCAGGTCGCCAGAAGGCCACTGCTTTGCAATAATTTTCCACCATTTTAATTAAAGGCCCTTAACACAGACTTTGAAACGCTTCATCTGCGTCAACACTTCATGACGTCATCTAGAAGCTGGGCACTGCGAGTACGTGGTGGGACAAGTAGAAAAGCGTCGTCCTCTGTAGGGCTGCGGGCGGCGAAGGCAGCAGGTGCGTGTGGGTCCCTAGTGCGCGTGCGGGGGTGCCACGGGCGGGGAAGGCACCGGAAAAGGATCGCCGGGCTGAGACCGCGCGTGCGCAGAAAGCGACAGCACGCCAGGGGCCGAGCTTTAGGAACGGGGTGTGACATACGCAGTATGGCGTCCAGCCTCTACGTGGTTCGTCAGTGGGTCAGCAGGCTCGGGGAGGTGCGGCCAGGGGCGGAGCCTTCCCTTTCCAGCCCGGGTCAGGCCCCCTCGTCCCCCCGGCCCGCCGCTCCGACTCCGCCCTAGCACTTCGCCCGCGACTCAACCGCCACCACTCGGCCCCGCCCAACTCTGAGCCCGGCCCGCCCGCCCCGCCTTCCTGTCCCCGCCGCCCTGCCGCTCTTGTCTCGCGGGTCCCCTCCTCCTCCACCCCACCGTCCTCACTCTCTCCCCTCCTTCCCTCAGAGGATGTCCGCCTTCCAGATGAACCTGGTCCCGCTCCAGGAGCCGCTGGGCTTCATCAAGGTCTTGGAGTGGGTGAGTGCGGCCCGCGCGGCGCGGCTGGAGGTGGGAGCGGCCGGCGGGACGCGGAGGACGGCGGGGCGGGTGTCGATCACGAGTGCGAGAGAGTCGGGGCGGCCCCCTGCCGCCAGAGCGCGTCCCGGTCCCGGGGGCGGGGGCTCGGGTTTCTCCGGCCCCGCTGCGGGCCGCGAAGCGAGAGCGGGCTTCCTTCCTGCTGCGGGCCAACCGAAGTCCGGACCGCCCGCGCCCGCCTCCCCAGTGGACCAGATGGAGCGAGCATTGCGCTTTGAATTTGCTTTGAAGGGTGACTCTTGTTAAAAATAATGAAACTGTGAGTCAGGGAAGCAGGGGAAAGAACTTTTCAGAAAACCTATCGAGTGAATTCGGTTCATTTTCCAGCATGCCAGAAAAGGACGTCATGCTGGTGTTAGGTCCTTGCAAGCAATATCCTGCTTGGGAAGTCCGTTTTAGTTCATTCGGGGAACACTTAACAATCATTAACATCAAAGGAGACCTTCATTTGACTTTGGCAATGATCAGTGTGCTTGGAGGAGTTAGTAAATTCACATGCACTGAAGGTTTCCGTCGAACTCCATGGCCCAGTACATATTTCGGTGCTGATTTTCAGAACCTTGTTAATAGACAGCTGGCCTCTGTCCAGTATGCAGGCAGGTCGTGTTTACAGTCAGCAACATTTAAACTCCTTTTCCTCCTTTGTTTTCGTGAAAAGGTAAAGAAGAGGAGAAACTTATAGTTTCCTGCTAGGATATTTTTAAAAAGTAAAACGGAAACTCAAGATTCTCTGATTTGTACATACACCATTCTCTGATTTCCTGCATACCCCACATCCCCAAAGTTTTGCTGCTTTTCTGAAAATTGAAATAGTGCTTGTTTCACACAAATGGCCACTTTAAAGACATGAATTTTTATGCAAACCTGGATCCAGGGTTAAATAGAAAGGACATTATTTGTGCATACAAAAATTAAAAATTGGGAGAGAAATTACATTATTTAACTAGTCTAATCAAATTTAAAAATTAGGAGGCTGGGGTTATGTCCTTTGCCTAGCATGCTGGGGCCCTGAATTCCAATCCCAGCACCACAAAAAAAGTAAAGATTGAGAAGAAGCCTTATATGTAGATTTTTACTTGAAGGAAGAGACGGTTTATGTTTGTGCTTGTATTGTCAATTTTTTAAAATCACAGACTTTTTCTTTGAAGTGCTAATGATAGGTTCATTAGTTTTCTAAAGTATTTGGGAGAAAATCTAAGCTTCTTAAGTAAATACTTTCAATTTTATATTATGCAAGAAATAATTTTGTGACAAAACTGCATGTTGTTAATGCTATAGAGAATATTTACTCAGTATTTCAGTGTATATTATTTACCAGCACTGTGCTAAACACTAGCATACAAACATGAATAAAATGATCTTTTCCTCATGATTTCTTAAGGATGGAGAATATGAAAATGCCATATGAGAAATACCATAATAAAGGTGTCTACAAAGTATAAGGGGAAAGAAGGACCACTAAGCTAGGAAGAACTTCATAGATGAAAGAACACTGGAAGGATGAGCACTTGTTCACTTGGGGAGCAGATTAGGAGTCCCTTTCCAGGCAGAGATCATCTGATGTTCATTGGGGTGAAAAGTTGGAAGCAGCATAGCCCTGTATGTGAACTGAACGTATTTGGGAGTTGGCTGGAACCTATACATACTGCTAACGAGGGTATGGTTTGAGATGATTCTGAAAGGTTCGGAAGGGCTTGCTACGTTTGGGGTTAATCTCGGACCCTTTCATTAGGAAAATGCCTGTGTGCTAGGTATAGAATATAAGCCCAGGGCTGGGGATTTAGCTCAGTGGTTCCCCCCGCTCCTGCCTCGAAAGCGCAAGGTCCTGAGTTCGATCCCCAGTACCAAAAAAAAATAAGCCCAGAATCCAAGTGAATAATATAATTAGATTTGCCTTTTAGAATTTCTTTATTTTGTTAGCAGTAGAGGATGGATTGAAAGGGTCAGAATTGGAGGAGGGTGATATATTGCATGAGAAATTATTAGGGCTTAAAATTAATGGGGGTGAAGATAAAGAGGTTTAGAAATTAGAATATATTTAGAAGTGAAGAAGGAGGACTCTTAAGATGACTGCTATATTTCTGGCTTGGGTTGGTAGTGGCCTCATTATCCAAGGTAAGTTACTAAGTGGAAGAGGAGCAAATATTTGTGGAAGGTCAATAAGGATATAAAAGATCTTTAAGATCATAAAATGGTGTTATCCTATGCACAGTTGTATATGTGGACCTAGAGTTTAAAACACTTAAGTATGGGCTACATATTCAGCATATATCTCACAGCAAAGAAAAAGAGTCACTAGGAAGATGGAGAGCAATAGTGTATTGGCATCACTATTAGAATTTCAAGAAAAGAGTACTCAGTAATGTTAGGAGCAATGGAGAGGTTAAGTAAATAGGGCTGAAATGTGTCCCCTAGTTTTGGTAGTCAGGAGGCTGTTGGCAGCTTTAGCAAGAGCAGTTCCATGTTCCAGTCAAATCAGAAGCCACATTGAAGTAGGCTGAATGAATATCTGGTAAGATAATGAAGACAATATATTCATAATTTGTGAAGCTGGGAGAGCCTTTAGTGATATTTTAAAAAGAGAGTAATTCAGCTTATAGCTCAATTTCTTGAATGCTTTCCATGGAGACAGTCATTGTATTTGGTATGCAGCAAAAGTCTTTACACTTTCCATTTCATCACATAAAATGTTAAGTGTGTCAGATTTAATAAAAAATAAGTGCTTCATCAAAGACATTCTTAAGTGAAAGTCTTCCCCCCCCCCATTCCTAGCCCTCCCTTCACGCCCTCCACCCTTCCCTATTTACAAAGACTTTATTTCCATTTTTTCCATTTCTCATCATTTTTTCCTTTCCCTTCTTTCCTTTCCCCTGCCCCTCCCACTACCCCTACCCTTTTGGACCTTTTCTTCCTATTTTACATTATCGATTATTCATCCTTATCATTGGTACATTTTAGGTGTACAATATAATGACATTCATCATTGGAAATTTGCACCTTTACATAGTCTCTCTTGGTTCTTATTTTTCACCCTTGCCCAGCCCTCCCTTTAAGTGAAACTCTTAACTGCTACTGTGTGGTACTAATGCTGATTGTTACTAAGGCTCAGCAGTTTTATCCTCCAATGCATTTGCTTAAAGCAAATGTCAACACATTGGAAAATGTAAATAATGCCTTAGTATTCTTATGCAGATGTTTTATTTTTGTGAGTTTCTGAGTTTTGGGAGCTCTCCGTGAGTCTTTAGATAGCAGAATAGGAAAGGCTATCTCTCTGGACTTAATGGCTTACCTAGAGCTGAGTACTTACGAAAGGGTGGAAAGAGAAATAGCCCCCAAGAACAAAACTTGGACCAGTGTACTTGCTGGCTGAAGGTCTAGGTGTGTGATAACTGGAATATTCTCATATGTTGGTGATTTGGGACTCCCATCATAAGGGGTGGTGAACTAGGGGACAGATAAGCCCTAGGAGAAATGACAGTGCAACTACTAGACAGGAATAGAAAGGGGGGGGGTAATACCAACTTGAGCCTGTATCAAATGCCCTAAAACACATGAAGGAAACTAAATTTTATGTAAAAACTCAAAGTTAATCAATTGCAGCAAATACTATCAGTTTTCCATGAAGTGACAGCCACACTTCAAGACAGACAGCCAGATCAACAATCAAGATGTTGATTCAACTGCACAGGGCGTGAAAATAGTTGAACAGCCTAATAATTATTTTAAAATAAATATATTTAGATAATTTGGGGATTTACAGTTCCATACACAGCTGAATAAGTGTTTAAGAATAAAGGTGACAGGCTTTAAAGTTGATCCATAAAAATCAGTTCCTTGACTCTCAGCATCTAATCTTATGATTGAAAAAACAAACACTGTCATAGTTCATCTTAAGTACTAAATGATCATTTGATTTAAAAGTAAAAACAGGATATATAATCTACTTCTAAAGATTTCATTTATATCGGGGGTTGTGTGTGTGTGGTGCTGATAACTGAACCCAGGTCCTTTGCACTAAGCTGTATCTCTAGCTCTGTTTTCCTTTTGTTTGTTTTTGAAATTTTGACACAGTGTCTCACTAGGTGGCCAGGTTGCCTGGCCTAGCCTGCAATTTGTGATCCTCCTGTCTCAGCCTCCCAAGGTGCTGGGATTAGAGGGTATGTGCCACCGTGCCTGGCTCAATCATGCTGTTCTCATAAACTAAACATTGAACAGAAGAAAATGTAAGTAGATGACGTCAGCTTAATGATGAAACCTGATAGGGAGTGACTAGAAACATGTGGACCCGTAAGCTGGATGAATTCCAGCATTCTCCACATCCCTCTGACAGCAGGGTGTAAGAGTGAGAGTTAGACTGTGGCTTTGGCTGAAGGATGGATAACTCCTTGAAAAGCCCAGTGCTGTCCAGTTTTTTGGCCATAAATTCCTGTCTACAGTTTTTTGCCCGGAGTCCCAATTTGCATCTGTAACTTAGATGCATATTTTTATATGTTAATATCTTAAAGGGCATGGTATGCGCAGAGTAGAAAGTCATTCATATTTTTAAATCCCAATTTCAGATACTATTCTGGTAATCAAATTCTTATAATTCCATTAAGTAGAAGCTGTTTTTACATTGTAATATGGCTTCTATTCTTTTTATATATATTATCAATCTATAGTTTCTTTGAAGACTGTTTTGTTTTAGATAAAGTCTTGCTGTGTAGTCCAAATGAAGTAAGTGCTTGTAGAACCACCTTCATAAAAGTAAGTGAAACAAGCTGTTCAGAAGAAACACAAGAGTATCTCATTGATGCTGCCTAGTTACTCCTGTCCTGAGGGTAAGACAGTAGAGAAGCACACAGTCTGAAGGACATGCCCTATCCTGAATGGCATCTATCACTTGGGTCCCAGCTGATTGTTTTATGACAGTGTGGGTCTGATGTTGCTCCATCTTCGGTTTT